TAAGCCAGAATTGTGAAATTCGGAGCCATTTTGTGTCATGCATTGTCAGCAATTTCAAAATATGCAGTGCAGAAATATGTTCTTCAATACCAGGTTACAATTATTTCTACAATGCAAGGTTACAAATGGTTCTTTTGTGTGAGGTTACATTTTGTTCTTCAATACCAGGTCACAAATTGTTCTTCAATGTAGGTTACAATGTGTTTTCAATGCTTCTGCAAACTGCTCTTCAGTGGGAGGCTACATTTGTGAAATGATTGAACCACCTTGTGTTTTGTATTATCATCAAAATCAAAGTATGTTGTGCTGATATTTGTTCTGCAGAAAATACAGTTTGTTTGTCAGTGCTTGTAACATTACAAACTGTTCTTCAATGCCAGGTTACAAATTGTTCTTTATGCCAGGATACAAATTGTTCTTTATGCCGGGTTACCAATTGTTTTTTATGCCGGGTTACAAATTGATCTTCAATGCCCGGTTACCAATTGTTCTTTATGCCAGGTTACAAATGTTCTTTATGCCAGGTTACCAATGCCAGGTTCTTTTCTTTATGCCGGGTTACCAATTGTTCTTTATGCCGGGTTACAAATTGTTCTTTATGCCGGGTTACCATTTGTTCTTTATGCTGGGTTACCAATTGTTCTTTATGCCAGGTTACCAATTGTTTTATGCCCGGGTTACCAATTGTTTTTTATGCCGGGTTACAAATTGATCTTTAATGCCCGGTTACCAATTGTTCTTTATGCCAGGTTACAAATGTTCTTTATGCCAGGTTACAAATTGTTCTTTATGCCAGGTTACAAATTGTTCTTTATGCCGGGTTACCAATTGTTTTTTATGCCGGGTTACAAATGTTCTTTATTCCAGGTTACAAATTGTTCTTCAATTTCAGATTACAAATGGTTCTTCAATCTCAGGCTACAAATTTTCTAATTGTTCTTCAGTGCATGGTTACCAGGTATTCATCTTTATTTAAAATTGAATACTGTTTTGCATGAACTTCTGAGGACTGCAACAGTCACAACATAACAGATTCCCACATGAGTTCAAAGACAACCAGGAACTTGACACATCCAGTTCACGATATACAAGTATAAATGATGATAAACGTAATTGGAGCTTCCAGGGACTGACAGGAGAGTTCACGACACCCAAGAATTTAACACATCCAAGTTTGACTGTGCATCAGGCTAACAAAAAAATAGATATTCCAATAAGATATATTGTGTATATCACCTTGTGTATGTCAGTACCATAAGATGGCGACCGTGTCATACCAAAAGACATTAAAATATGGTACTTGTTGGTCCCTGCCTGGCGCTCAGCATTAATGGGTACAACAAGGACTGGTCGGCTCGGAGTCAGTATAATGTGTCTGAGTGGGGTATTCATGCTTCACTGCGGCATGGTATCTCAGTGGGCTAGCACTATAAAACCAGCTTAAGTCAGGGCTAGTACAAGCAGCTGCACATACACACGCATGCTCGTTGTCATATGAGCGAAATATTCTCAAGCGCGACGTAAAACCCAATTTCACCTCACCTACCATAAGATGTCATCCAGTATATCACCAAAACACCAGCCGACAACCCACATCACTGTGTAACTTCATCATAATCATCTGTATGCATATAAATCTGAACCCCATCCCATAACTGGATGAAGTTATTGATTAACACACCTTCCACCAGCCGACCCTCAGGTTGTGTGAGAGAACATGCATTTTTCTTGACGAAATAAATCTATAAATAATCATAACAGACAAGCCCCAGACATTTCTAAATGAATATGCTCATACATATAGCTAACAAAACTTAATAACAATTGATTCGGGATGAAGAGCTCTCAGCTATCTTATTATCCTTATCTAATCTTTTAAATGTCAGGTCGTTGACCCAAGCTCTGCCAGTGAGTGCTGAAGGTGTAGACTAACACTAAGTCTCTGAAAAGATATAATTTTGACGGAAACAAATAATATTTCTTCTTATTGAAAAAATAAAGTGAGATGGGAGATTCAGAACTTCAGACTTGTTTTATTTGGTGGGTTTTGCATAACAGACGGGTCTGGAAAAATGTGACTAACTTTGGTTCGGGGACTGTGAGACAGGCTACTGATGGTGCACCACCTACCATCACTGTGAAGAGCATCTGTCTGTCTTAGATCAGTTTAGAGTCCTCCAGAACTCTAACAATACATTGTGAACGCAGAACAGTTGCAGAGCTCACAGATGGATTCATCAATGTTTTAACAGGATCTCGAAGCTTTCTTACTATATTAATTCTTGCAGATGTGCGGAATGACTGCAGGTAGTGTTTTTTAAGAGGGGCCTGATGGGTTTACTTGCAAGGGTAAAATGACTCAAGAAACATTATTGTATCGAATTGAGATAGGATTAATTTTGATTTAGACTTTTATAGCAAAAATTTAAAGGTCACAAGGCGATTTGGTAGTTTCAGCAAATGAATCAAGTTCCTAACTTACACTCTGTTTCTGTGATGATACAGAGACGGGGGTGGGGGTGGGGGGGGGAGATGGTTGTGTGCAATCATCTGGCTAGATGAGGCTAGTACAACTGGTTGCTTCAAATTCCATTATGTATACTACTCAAAAGAATTTAAGAACATTTGACTGTTTTACATTAACAAGCATAGTCTTTACAAAAAGTGGGTGTTCTTAAGTGAGTGAGTGACTAATCAGAAAATTGGTAAAAAATAAGATGGTCATAGAACCTTTAACCAAACCCACCCCCCACCACCCCAAAAAGGGTATTCTGGAGTGAGTGAGTGAGTGAGTGAGTGAGTGTGTGAGGGGCAGGACTGAAGCCCTGGAAACTCAGAGCATGATTCTCTATTGTAAAGGGGTGAGGTCTGGTTTAAGGAGGTTTCACTATTTGTTTGACTGTTTGTTTGATTGTATGTTTGATTGTATGTTTGACTGTATGTTTGGCTGTATGTTTCAGTTAATGAGTGAGTGAGTGAGTGAGTGTGGGTCAGGACTGATGCCTTAGAAACTCAGAGGATGATTCTCTGTTGTCATGGGTCGAGGTCTGGTTTAAGAAGGTTTCACTGTTTCACTGTATGTTTGAGTGAGTGAGTGAGTGAGTTTGTTATTACACCACTTTAAACAGTATATCAGCTGATTATCACAGTGTCAGTTTGCTACAGGAGGACAGCCTGAAGTGATGCAGGCCTTAGATGTTAAAAGCTTTGGTGAAATCCACAAGCTTGGGCATGATGCTGGCAAACCCTGAAACATCAGGATTTGTACCCGTGAAGGTCCGGGCTAGAATGAACCTTCAGTAACCCATGCTTGTCGTAAGAGGCGACTAACGGGATCGGGTGGTCAGGTTCGCTGGCTTGGTTGACACATGTCATCAGTTCCCAGTTACACAGATCGATGCTCATGCTGTTGATCAATGGATTGTCTGGTCCGGACTTTACAGACCACCGCCATACAGCTGGAATATTGCTGAGTGCGGAGTAAAACTCAACTCACTCACTCACCCAGGATTTGTACTGATGATCATAGGTTTCTGGCTTGCTTAGGGGCATAACTCTGTACAACAAATTCTCGTACCTTGGATAACAGAGCCACCCATACCCCCATGTATAAGTAGAAAATATCAATGTAACAGTTTGTGATTTCTGAATTACACATGGACAATATTTTCGATTCTCACAGCATCTTAAACCAGGCAGATAGTGGTCGTTCTGTGAAATAGAATGAAAATGAAACATGGCTTGGGCTAAAATACAAGATTAATGCTGATCATAAAAGTAGGGAAATGACAAGGGAATGAAAATGGAACTGTTTATTGTCCCGCTCAAATTCAGTGGTTGAAGGAACCTGCTTTGAGAAAACAAATCCCATGAAAATGAATAAAGAGTTATTATTGGCTTGTGGCAAATGAACACACTTAGACCAACGTTTAGTCTCTGAATAGATGTAATTTTGATAGACTTGCTTCGTTTAGTGCTTTAGTGTCTAAGTGAGTGAGTTGAGTTTTACGCCACTTTTAGCAATATTACAGCAATATCACAGCGGGAGACACCAGAAATGGGCTTCATACATTGTACCCATGTGGGAGTTGAATCTGGGTCTTTGGCGTGACGAGCGAACACATTAACCACTAGGCTACCCCACCGTCCCTTTAGCTCCATTTGACGGACCCAACCCAATTAACTGACTGACTGAGTTTGGTTTTACACCGCTTTTAGCAATATTCCAGCAACATCACGGCGGGGGACACCAGAAATGGGCTTCACACATTGTACCCATGTGGGGATTCGAACCTGGGTCTTCGGCGTGACGAGCCAATGCATTAACCATTAGGCTACCTCACCGCCCCCACAATTAACCAATCCAATAGGAATTGTTGGGGTTCTTTAGAACTTGCTCCACTTGCTCTAAATGACTTGACAGTATGGCTGCTTTTTATTGGAAAAACAAACAAAATTGTGGATATTTATGATTTAAGTAGCATAAACAGATATCAATTGCAAAATGGTGTTTAGCATCATCTATACCAGCTTTATCCCTTCAGTCAGTTTCAAAATATTTTTAGTCAAAAGTAATGTTAACCTGCCAACAGTAAATTCACCAGAACCAAATGTATTGCAAAATTGATCATGAAAAAGTAATTTCACATTGATGAAAATGCCAGCCAACTTGTAACTTTTCAACATGGGATTTGAACCAATGACCTGCTGGAATGTTAACATAGCCAGTGGTAATGGGAACAAATGAGAGTTACTTCCCCTTTAGAGAAAAGCAGAAGCTGGCCATTTGGCTCAACATGTGGATTGGTCTTGTTTTCATAAATCCACACATTCCTCAGGACTAATGGCCAATGTGACCTGGAAGTCTTGTAAATTGATATTGACAGACATTTCATGGATGGACACTTATAAATTTAAAATCATGTTATTGTAACAGACCTGTCATGAACTATAGACCTATCAGTGATTAAAATATTCTGAATGGAATATGGCTCAGTGAACACTTCCACAGGCCTTTCCCTCTGTAGGAAAAATGATTTTTGTTTTATCAATTGAATGACTAAATCTTAACATGGCAATTGTCAAGGTTTCTTCACCCTGCCCAATATATATCTGAAAAGTTGAAGCGATGGAGCTCCATGCAATCACATGATGGGCAGACTGAGGAGATGTTGACTCAATCAGAAAATATTCAAGAAAACAAAAAGGTCAACTGGAACTTAAAGCAGGCAATTTCTTGAGTGTGATTGGAAAGTGGCAGCACAGATGGTTCAAGAAGACAAGTCATGGAGAGACTACAAATAGTGTGAGTGTAACCAGCAGATAGAGACATGCCCTGTGGGAGAGCAATGAGATGCTGCATGCTTCTGTGGAACATCCCTGTGTTGTAGGAAGGGCAGTAATGCTTTTTATTACCTACGAGGGCGCACATATTGGGGTGATATTTTTCATACGATGCCCTTGGGAAAAATGTCACTTTGTCATGATTATGTGACGTCATGAACAAGGCTATGATGTCACATTCCTTCTATGACGTTACATTCTACATGCGGCAACGGCGGGTAGCCAGCCTGTGTTAGAAAGTAGATTTGGGTTTATTTTCCTCAATTTGACGACTTCGGTAATAAACAGAATATTATATGAGTGCCCATATCATACTATGTTTACGACACTCGTGCCTAAATATCGGCATATCCCTCGCTCTTGCTCGGGAAATACCAACATTTAGGCACTCGTGTCGTAAACATAGTATGACACGGGCACTCATATAATATTCTCTATATCCATGTATTTACAGATTCGCAGGTACTGAAGCTCATCTTCATTGGATGTTTTGCTGATGAAGATCAACTGAAACACATCTTTTACCAGGAATGGTGTTCCACTTTAAAAGATAGCTCATGTTATGTTAATTACAAAACTTGTAAGACTTTGTTTCAATCAGAGATTTATTTATCAATACTCACGACAGAAAATGTAGGAAACATTTTATTAAACATCGGCAAGGTTTATTCTACAGTTTTGTAAATGAAGGAAGAAAACTTTCCATTAAAAAAATAGAAATGAGTCTATCAATTATGCAAAATAGAAATGGAAAATGAAATTCACTTTGTGTTTGTCTGTCCATTTTATAGTGACCTTCAAAAATATATATTAAAGATTAATTGATGTCACCATTGAAAGCTTTCGTATATATTTTAACGACTAAGAATGAATATATGATATGTACTACCTATCAAGAGTTTGGCCTCCCTTCTGTAAATATAGCCACTTACTTCAGGCAACTGTTCTAGACTTGATTTTGCAAAATATTCCATTCAGTTTGAAGGTACTGTTTACACATGAACTAATGTATTGTAAGGTTGAAAAGATTATTGTCATGAGTTCAGTAAATGATGAAAATCAGTGAAAATTGGCGAATTCTTAACAAAACTTTACACCAATTTGGTCCTCATACAATTCATCTGCATTCAGGGGTGGAAATAACCCATTGCCCGATGTCCGAGTCCAGTGTTTTTTTCTGTCTGGCAAGCAAATTTGTATATCACACTGTACCGGTGTCCAGTTGACTTTCCAATGTTAATTATGTTGTTTATTTAAAAAATCAGCAAGAAAACGGTCGGTATAGTGGAAAAATTATCAGGGCAAGTGACTTTACATGTGCCACTGTACCGGAGTACACTATCAATTTTAAAGTTATTTCCACCCTTGTGCACAAAGTTTGCAGTTGGTTCCCCCAAGTTAGTGGAGAAATTCACCTTCGATGTAACCATATATTTTTTTCAGCCAATTATTGTATGTTACTTAAGCAATTAAATCTATCGGTTTATAGATATGCTGTCATGAACAGCAAAATATAAAAAAAAATATAATGGCTTATCTCATATAATTTATTACTGCCGACTCGGATGGAATATAGAAAATAAATATAAAAACAAGTTAACATGAAATATCACTCAAATTGTCATTGTGTTAGTCTTGAAAAGAGGATTTATTGCTGCTGAATACATAGTCCGTCTCACAGTCACTGAACCACATTATTTTCCCTACAGCCTAGCTATCCCTGCAATGCTAAAGCTGTAAATGAAGCAAGTCTAGATTTCCCCAGGTTTATCTCGGGTCTACCTTGGTCTCCTTTTCAATTTGAATGGGTTTATTTGTAACAATCAAAATTATATATATTCAGAGACTAAGCGTTAGTTTACTGAATACATAGTAAAGTATTTACTGCCAAGTGTGAAGCAAGGTAGATCAATAACAGTTATAGCCCTTAGATATAAGACCGCCTCCGTGGTGTAGTGGTAAGAGCGTCTGCCCGGGAGAGTGGAAGGTCGCGGGTTCGATCCCTGATCGCGTCATACCAAAAGACGTTAAAATATGGTACTTGTTGGTCCCTGCCTGGTGTTCGGCATTAATGGGTACAACAAGGACTGGTCGGCTCGGAGTCAGTATATTGTGTCTGAGTGGGGTATTCATGCTTCACTGCGGTGTGGTATCTCAGTGGGCTAGCACTATAAAACCAGCTTCAGTCTGGGCTAGTAGAAGCAGCTGCACATACACATACACACGCATGCACGGAAAATGGCGACATTCATGTGTTTCTTAATTATTGTTCTTACTTCAGTAAACCAAATAAAAAAAGAATCACCAAATTAAAGCAGACTAAAACATGTAAAGTCATAATTCATATTTACAGATAAACATTAATTTCCTCAATAAAAATACCATCAAATTTTATATAACAAAAGTAGCGTGATCTTTGGCTATGAATCTGTGAGTAGAGAAGTGGATCTAGAAGTAAAAGAATTGGGTCTGTCATCAGACCTGTCTTTCTCAAACATAAAATTGCCAAACAGATCCATATAAATGCTGTGGTTGTGTGCAAGATGAGGCCACATATCCTGTTTTGATCAGTGTTGTTTTACTCAAGCCATGAATTATCTTGTAGCACTATAAATCTTTCCTGAATTTAGTTTTTCCATTTTGGATTTCCTAATAGGTTTTACTTGATATATGAGTTAAAATGGAAACACTGTAAATTTTGAAAAATGTACCCATTTTTTGCTCGTTCTTGTCGAAAGATTTTTTCATACTGAGATATGTCTGCCGACATGGGGCCCGTTTCACAAAGCTCTCATAAGCCTAAGATCTTGTAACTTTACTCGTAGCATTCGTAACTCATATACTGTAACATAGGAGGTCCGAATGCTACAAGAAAAGTTTTGAGATTCTTAGGCTTACGAGAGCTTTGTGAAACCAGGCCCAGGTGACATATATTTTTCAAGGTTGAAGATTCTTTTTGTGGTCCGCGTGGTCCTGTGCATAGAGCTCAGATCACAAATCAGTTGAAGTTAAGCAACGTCGAGCTCGGAGAGTCCTTGGATGGGTGACCGTGTTTGGCAGCTTGACACAACAAAGCACATGTGATACATGTGGTCTCACCTTAGGCAAGTGAGTTTGTTCAAATTGCCTCTGTTCACCCAGCAGAAATGGGTACCCAGTGGGATAAAGTCATGTGACTATAACCTTCTAGCGCCTAACAGGTAGCTTGGGTTATCCGGGGTAATAAGAATCAGATTCTGATTAAGCGCCGTGAGCAATCACTTGGTGTTTGGAGACTGTGCGCTATAGAAGATGACTTATTATTATTATTAAAAAAGTAAGTTAAAGTATGACAAACTCTGAAAGTTTAAAATTTGTAATACGTTTAGAGTTAAACTTACTGTTGTCATATTTCTTATCTTCGAATTACACTTTCTCAGTAAAGTAGTAGAATCTGTACTTTACTGAGAAAGTGTAATTCCACATACAATATGCTTTACATTTAACCACTTTCTGTTGAAACCCTACCGTTGTTGTTTATATGAAGGTTGATTGGTAAGTTCATAACCTCACACGGCCTGTGAAGATTGGGTTAGAATTGGTCTTCAGTAATCCTTGCTTGTTGTAAGATGTGACTAACGGAATCGGGTGGTCACTCTCGCTGACTTGGTTGACACGTCATGTCACCCAGTTTGCATAGATTGATGCCCGTGCTGTTGATCACTGGATTGTCTGGTCTAGACTGGATTATTTACAGACCGCCACCATATAGCTGGAATATTGCTGAGATCGATGTTAAACAACAAACTTACCAACAGAACCTCACACAGAATGAATTGTGTAAAGTGAAATATTCTGTTGTGGACAAAACATGGCATCATGGATTAGGCGAGTGAGTTTGGTTTGATACCACTTATATTCCAGCAATATCACGGCGGGGGACACCAGAAATGGGCTTCACACATTGTACCCATGTGGGGAATCGAACCCGGGTCTTCGGCGGGAAGAGCGAACACTTTAACCACTAGACTACCCCACCACCCCCAGCATCATGGAGGTAGATTCACAGAGAGTGAAATAAGCAGGGACATGGGATCTTTGGTATCAGGTCACCCAACCCTTGTGCTTTTGTAGATATTGTGCATAAACCTGCTGTCTGTACAATGCTCTTGAGTGAATCTGTTGGAACAGAGACATAAACCTGCTGTCTGTACAATGCTCTTGAGTGAATCTGTTGGAACAGAGACATAAACCTGCTGTCTGTACAATGCTCTTGAGTGAATCTGTTGGAACAGAGACCATATAATAAATGGTCGATTATATGGTCTCTGGTTGGAATAAACACATTACTTTTCTTTTCAGTCTGAAGTGACACAGGTCATAACAAGAACAGCTTGTAGATCCTATAGATCTGAAACAGTGACACTCTCCACCATGGTAAGTTATTTTGTGCCTGCACATCATACAATGTGGTATTTGCCTGCACACCATACAATATGGTATTTGCCTGCACACCATACACTGTGGTATTTGCCTGCACATCATACAATATGGTATTTGCCTGCACATCATACAATGTGGTATTTGCCTGCACATCATACAATGTGGTATTTGCCTGCACATCATACAATATGGTATTTGCCTGCACATCATACAATGTGGTATTTGTCTGCACATCATACAATGTGGTATTTGCCTGCACATCATACAATATGGTATTTGCCTGCACATCATACAATGTGGTATTTGCCTGCACATCATACAATATGGTATTTGCCTGCACATCATACAATGTGGTATTTGCCTGCACATCATACAATATGGTATTTGCCTGCACATCATACAATATGGTATTTGCCTGCACATCATACAATGTGGTATTTGCCTGCACATCATACAATGTGGTATTTGCCTGCACATCATACAATGTGGTATATGCCTGCACATCATACAATGTGGTATTTGCCTGCACATCATACAATGTGGTATATGCCTGCACATCATACAATGTGGTATTTGCCTGCACATCATACAATGTGGTATTTGCCTGCACATCATACAATATGGTATATGCCTGCACATCATACAATGTGGTATTTGCCTGCACATCATACAATGTGGTATTTGCCTGCACATCATACAATGTGGTATTTGCCTGCACATCATACAATGTGGTATATGCCTGCACATCATACAATGTGGCATATGCCTGCACATCATACAATATGGTATATGCCTGCACATCATACAATGTGGTATTTGCCTGCACATCATACAATGTGGTATTTGCCTGCACATCATACAGTGTGGTATTTGCCTGCACATCATACAATGTGGTATTTGTCTGCACATCATACAATGTGGTATTTGTCTGCACATCATACAATATGGTATTTGTCTGCACATCATACAATGTGCTATTTGTCTGCACATCATACAATATGGTATTTGCCTGCACATCATACAATATGGTATTTGCCTGCACATCATACAATGTGGTATTTGCCTGCACATCATACAATGTGGTATTTGCCTGCACATCATACAATGTGGTATATGCCTGCACATCATGCAATGTGGTATTTGCCTGCACATCATACAATGTGGTATATGCCTGCACATCATACAATGTGGTATTTGCCTGCACATCATACAATGTGGTATTTGCCTGCACATCATACCATGTGGTATTTGCCGCACATCATACAATATGGTATTTGCCTGCACATCATACAATGTGGTATATGCCTGCACATCATACAATATGGTATTTGCCTGCACATCATACAATGTGGTATATGCCTGCACATCATACAATGTGGTATATGCCTGCACATCATACAGTGTGGTATTTGCCTGCACATCATACAATGTGGTATATGCCTGCACATCATACAATGTGGCATTTGCCTGCACATCATACAATGTGGCATTTGCCTGCACATCATACAATGTGGATATGCCTGCACATCATACAATGTGGTATATGCCTGCACATCATACAGTGTGGTATTTGCCTGCACATCATACAATGTGGTATATGCCTGCACATCATACAATGTGGTTTTGCCTGCACATCATACAATGTGGTATATGCCTGCACATCATACAATATGGTATTTGCCTGCACATCATACAATGTGGCATTTGCCTGCACATCATACAGTGTGGTATTTGCCTGCTCATCATACAATGTGGCATTTGCCTGCACATCATACAATGTGGTATTTGCAATATAAGATTTGTTTGTTTTGTTTATTGTTCAGTGTCACACTCAGAAATATTCCACCAGAGCTCCAGATAAGATTTAGCTCATGTGGGTACTGCACCCACTGTATTTTTTGGAGTGGGTATTATGAATTTAGTGGGTATTTCATTTTTCATTACCCACTGCTTTCAAATATAATGCGTATTTCAGTCATTTTACTCACCTAAGTATTAGGTCATTGAGTAAGTTTACTAAGCAGGTATGTTCTGCCTCATGTCATACCTAATCAAAACCAACTTAAATATAATGGAAATTATTTCATAAAAATCACTCATCCTGTACTGACATTACAACACTTGTCCTATACTAACAGTACAACTTGATAGCAATCGATGTCTTTTTCATTCCGCAGTTTATTTTATAAATATATTCCGTGACGATTTGTTTTAAACTTTTGGCGATCTAACATTTTAAATGCGTGGTTGGTAATGCAAACAGTTATTTTCAATGCGTCATTCTATGCATATTTTACCCGGATACGCAGATTATCTGGGCCTCTGTTCCTCTATATGACGGAAGTCTGTAAATAACCAAGGCTCAACCAGACAATCCAGTGATTGACATCATTAGCATCGATCAACAGAATTTGGATACGATGACATGTGTCGACTCAAGTCAGTGAGCCTGACCACCTGATCCCATTAGTCGCCTCTTATGACAAGCATGGGTTGCTGAAGACCAATTCTTACCAATATAAGAATAGGTGGTATATCAACAGGTGACTGAGTGTTATTTTATCCCACTGTGTGACCTATTCTTAGGGCAGTGGCCTGTCAAATATCTGTTTTGTGCCAGGCTGACTGACTGTAAATAGCAAGCTCATCGTACACAATCTGCCAGGGTTGTAACCCCAGACTCTCACTTGTTGTCTCCCCTGACAGACAAATTTGAACCAGGCCATATGTGTCCCTGTCAACCGCTGTAATCACAGAGCTATGCCACAACCACCATAAGTTGATGACATCACAGACTTCAGCAGATATTGTACCGAAGACACTTTTACCACATACGCCGAAGTCCCGGGTTCGATTCCCCACATGGTTACAATGTGTGAAGCCCATTTCTGGTGTCCCCCACCGTGATATTGCTGGACTATTGTTAAAAACAGTGTAAAACCAAACTCACTCACTTTACTCGATACAGGCCATATGTGTTCCTTTCAACCACTGTAACCACAGAGCTATGCCACAACCACCATAAGCTGATAATGTACCCCCGAGGGCGGTGGGGTAGCCTAGTGGTTAAAGCGTTGGCTCATCACGCCGAAGACCAGGGTTCGATTCCCCACATGGGCATAATATGTGAAGCCCATTTCTGGTGTTCCCCGCCGTGATATTGCTGGAATAGTGCTAAAAGCGGCGTAAAACTAAACTCAGTCAGTCAGTCAGTGATAATGTACCTAAACGAGAGCTATCAGCAGTGCTACGATGTGACAAAACAGACAGGGGTTGAAACCAGCGATGAAACAGCTCGACTTGATGTACAGAGTTTATCGTCGAATATTTTGGCTGTCAACATGTCAGAGAGAAGGATTACAGACTTTTTCTATTTTGGTTATTGGCCCATATTTTCTAAAGGTATGGGCCAACTGGCCCCTTCCAAGGAAACCAGCGATGAGATTACTGCTGTGTCAGCAAATGAAGTGGATATCAAAGTGACAAAAAATAGGATGTGGAGATTACCTCTGCATATATATTGCCTGGCACACATTTCCAGCAATCGATACAACCAAAAGTAAAATCTTAACAGCGCATCTTGAAATATTGTCACTGACAAATGTAATAATTTTTTTACGAAATTTCTGAATATATACAGGCTTTATGTGTTTGGGGAAATCATGTGTAATGTATAATATCCGCTCACATGTGTAACGAATATTGGCGCTGACAGTTACTTTGTGGATGTCGACTCACTCATTTGAGAATACCATGGGGCTTGATGAACAGAAACACTGTTCAGTTGGAAGTGTCAATACTTATTTGGTAAAAGACGACTTGTCAGTTAAAGCAACAAGATATGATTTTCACGACTGACTGACTGGGTATGGTTTTATGCCACTTTTAATGATATTCCAGCAAAATCATGGCGGGGGACACCAGAAATGGGCTTCACACATAATACCCATGTGGGAAATCGAACCCGGCTCTTCAGCTTGACGAGCGAACGCTTTAACCACTAGGCTACCCCACCGCCCCCGATTTTCACGAGCGATGATGTATTTTCTATGACTCTTATGACAAGCAACGGTTTGCTCTAGATCAGTTCTAATCCAGGACCCAGAACCCGGATCTTCACGGGTAATTTTATAACAGAATCACTGACTTGGATGTATGTTTCAATCAGCACACTCACTGGAATCTGCTTTGGCTTGTAACAGTCACCGATTATACATGCAGACCTCCATGCAGCAACATCTAGCTCCCTACTGAACAGTGAATGAGTGCTTTTATGTCACCTTTAGGAATATTAAATACACAAAGTCAGCGATCTAACCCACTCAGCCACCACTGCTGGTAGTCTAGATTTCCAAGCTTTGTGTGCTGGCAGTTTCGGTCCAGTCTCAGAGAGTGTAGGTTCGAATTCCGTTTGGGATTAGACTTTCTCAGTAAAATACAGATGCAAGTACTTATTTCATTCCATATTAGTGTACCCCTCCTTTGTGTACCCTCCTGACAATACTACAAGCACTTTACTGAGAAAATGTATTTCCAAACATAACATATATTACATTCTTTTTAAAAGGCATTGTGTATTTAGAGTTCAGGACATGGGATCTGTGGCCAATTACATTTGTCAGGAGGGTACACAAAGGATGTAAAATGGAATGAAAAAAGTACTTGCATCTGTATTTTACTGAGAAAGTCTAATCCCAAATATAACTTTTGGTTTGTTTTTGGTTTAACGCCGCACTCAGCAATATTCCAGCGATATGGCGGCGGTCTGTAAATAACTGAGTTTGACCAGACAATCCAGTGATCAACAGCATGAGCATCGCTCTACGCAAATTGCATACGATGTCCCAAATATAACTAATGTTTAGTAATGATAGAATGACAGTGTGTAATTTTCTGATACATGGCCATGTGCATTTTTCAGTGCTCAGTGTTAGGTTAGGCTTCGTCTAAGCCCCCTTTGTCTAGGAACCTGTAGTTAGGGTTTGAATCTTGGTTATATATTTCTTGGTGTGCCAGCACCATACACCTGCTTGTTCGTTTCCCAAGAGTTATAGATCTGTAAAGGTCCGGGTTACAACTGATCTTCAGTAACCCATGCTTGTCGTGAGAGGTGACTAACGGGATCGGGTGGTCAGGCTCACTGATTTGGTTGACACGTCATCGTATCCCATTTGCATAGATCAATGCTCATACTGTTGATCACTTGATTGTCTGGTCCAGACTAGATTATTTAAAGACAGCTGCCATATAGCTGGAATATTGCTGAGTGCTGTATAAAACTGAACTCGATCACTCAATCACTCCTCCCACACAACAGTGATGTATGTGGAGAATGGTATTAAACCCAACTCAAGCACGCAGTCACTCAAAACTGAATACTTTGATGATCTATTCTGATGAATCATTTTTACTTGAAAATGCAACTTCTTTTAAGTCTGATATTTTATTTCAGAGATACGAATGTTTCACAGTTTTTATAAGCTTCCACATCATGTAGAATTCTGACTTAAAAATGCAAGTATCGACTTAACCTTTCAAACTCTTTCAAAGTAGAACATACATGCCTTAGTTGTCTCTCAAAATATAATACTTATATTATAGGTGTTCATACTCAATAGAATAACACTTTCTATCCAAGGGGCTATGACTATGAACTACCGGTACATCAATATCATATACACTCTATGCAAGGTTACTGATACATCCTACTAGTCAACTAGGGGCGGTGGGGTAGCATAGTGGTTGATGCGTTCGCTCGTCACGCCGAAGTCCTGGGTTTGATTCCCCACATAGGTACATTGTGTAAAGCCTATTTCTGGTATCCCCAGCCGTGATATTGCTGGAATATTGGTAAAGGTGGTGTTAAAACAAACTCACTCACTCAATTATCACAGATGATCTGTTTCTTTTCAGTTCACTTGCAAAGTCCATCTCCAACAACAAGACACTATTTTATCCTCTTTTCAGCAATGACATATGGGATTTTCAGCATGACGAGCGAACGCTTTACCCACTGGGCCACCCCACCGTCCTATACTGATATCTCCCGCCAAGGCCACTCATGAAGATCGGGGTTGTCGTGCTTGTCGTACAAGGCAATTAACAGGATGGGGTGGTCAAAATGGCTGGACAATTGCTTGAGCAGTGTAAAACTAAAACTCACTCACTCACTTTCTATCCTATCCAGTTTCTGTAAATATTTCAAATTTAACACAAAATGCTAAATGCAGTTTCACATCTGTTTTAGTTATAGGACAGATGTGATATATAATGTATATCAATGTGTATAGTATGACCCCATGTGTAAGACAATTCCCTTTCTACAAGCCTTAAAGGCACAATGTCACACATTTTTGACAATATTTTAGCCAATATCACATATACTGGGACATATGCACTCACTTTAGCTACCTATTGATGCAATAAAACACTTATTCTTGCCTGAAATAGATAATTGAAACTTCTGAGGCGACCAGCTTCCAAACAGAGAACACTTGCTATATATTGAATGTAAACAATTGCTCCGTACATTGAAAACTGTTGCACGCTGTGTTGTCAGTGTTTGCCGAACTGGTTTCAATCACAAGTTGAGCGTAGGATATTTGTAAAGAGCACTCCAAGGGACATTACTCTATGGGGTTCGCTTGAAATAATGTTTGGCTGGTCAAGGATGCGAGAGTCGATTTAATGCAACGTTGCATATTAATTCATTCGAACTTTTTAATCTACTATTGTAATCTAAATATGTAATTATTTTTTTAATAAATTATATGGTCGCTTCCCTGAGGTCGGATAGTTAAGATTAATATTATTACGAGAAATGCATTATATATTTTTAGAGAAGTGCAGTGAGACATTGTGCCTTTAAAAGCCACACTAATTTATATACACCCTCTATAATGGAACGCTGAGGGAAGCACATCAAAAAAGCATACATCATCCCTAAATTTGTCATAAAAAGGCGTTTGTGTCTAAATATTTTCTTATATGATATAGCACTCCAGCACATGGTGCCATTTTGTGTGTTGACACAGTGCAACACTATAATGGTGACAGTAAAAATATTCTGTTCCATTTAATTCCTGAAGTGAGTTAGAAGAAAACATAATTGCATACCTGTCATGGTTTATGAAATATAGCATATTTTCACCAATGCATGTTTCCCTGAAATATAAGCATTCACTCGTTCACTCGTACCAACATCTTGTACACCTTGATGTGACTATTCTTTTACATAATTATCTGAAATCAACAGGAACCAAAAGAGAACTGGCATGAGAAAGCTTAATGGCTTGTACCTTTTTTGCAAAAAATATACAAAAATGTTCCTGAGTATCACAAAATAATTGTTTTGTGGAAATGAAGAAGCAGAAGCCCTTATGGGATGTTTTCCCTTCACTTGAGAGACGCCGTGAGGAAATTGAATGCATGTGCTTGACTAAATTGGGGTCTAGAATAATTATAATGACAATGTTTATGTAATCAATTTCCTGCACGCTCCTTAGATCATCTGGACATGTATTAAAGCAATTAAAATATCAAAATAGTTCCCAAATGTTGATATTTCTTATGTAATGTGCTGATGGAGGTGTTAAAAGGAGCATCTTTGAATAATGTATTATATATTGTTGTGGTAAATCAAAACTCCTCTAATTATCACACAGATCTACCGGGCTCTGTAGCTCACTGAAATATTTCCAGAAATTTGGAGCATATAACAAGCAGATGCGATAATTTAGATCATCCTTGCCATGTTTCACCTCAAAGTTTTGTGTTTCAGACAAGATGTTAAAGAGGTAGACATTTATGACAGATGGATTGAATTAAAAGTTCCGGTGAGTTAAACATTTAATGCAGTTGTTTGTTTCTGACAAAATTATATTAATCAAAGTGTGTTAATCTAAAGATTTGTTAATCAAAAGTCATTTGTCTGTAGTCACTAAACTCAGAGTGACCATTGACCACCTCGTCTAAGTGAGTAATGTATGGTTCTGTAGCCAATCAGACGTCAGCTTTCTTAAAAGATTTGACTCCATTTTCTTTGATTTTATCAAAAGGAAACCAGGACAGGAATAAAATATGACTTCAATTGTACTCCCTTTATGTACATTTGGGATAGGTCCATCAGGTTGTTTTCTTGAAACAGCAATGAAATATCCTGCTCTGAATGTATACTCCCGTTAACCAAGAATTTAAAATCCTATTGCTTATCTGAAAGTTCACCTGACACTAACTTCGGAGAGAGGTATAGCATCTGAATAGAAGATCCAATTTTAATGAGATTATTCCAGTGATCTGCAATGAAAACTTCATGCCATTGTCAGACAAATCACAGAATGGTCATCTGTGTTCGAAATCCCTTGTATTAGACTGCCAGTGGGCACAGTTAAAATCATGATGTTTCTGTTGGCGCCTAAGGAAACCTTTTGCAATCACAGTTACCTTGTGATGTTGTTTATTTATGAAGCTAGTTATGAATGTACAGATGTACATAAAACCGAGAGAACAGATTTAAATAAACATACGATGATTGCACAGTATTATTCAGCAACAGAAAGGCTGTTATGGGTTTCATTGAAAAGAATGGGAGAAAACTTTGTCTGTTAATACTGCTTGTTATCTCTCTCACAGTGAAATAACATTTACAGAGTTGAAGCATGGATCAAAAATATTTCTTGTTGGCATAGTTCTCTTCCAAAGGGCAAAACAAAACATAAAGTGTCTTTGGTTTGGCATATTGCCAGATCATACAGTTTGGTCCCCCAGGTCAAGGTGACATGTAAGTAAGTCTGATTTCAGACCAGACAAACTCTTGGTTGCCTGTGATTGATTGGGTTGGTTTGTTGTTTAATGCCGCACTCAGCAGTATTCCAGCTACAGTGCACTCAGTCAAACTCGGACTCTGTCTTTCTCGGATTGCTGTATAAACAGGACTGAACTCACGGTCCCGACGTAATCCTTCTTTGTTGTCATAATAAAAAAGTTCTGTATCTCGGACTCTCATTATTTCGGATTTCGGACCAAAGTGTCGGCCCGATAAGGTAGTTACATGTAAAAACATTGCTATATAATTCGGACTGAGCAGGAAGTCCGCTTGGCCAATAAACCTTGAATAAACATTCCATTGATTGGTTTGTGTATTTTGTCTTATTTACTTAGCAGGAAGTCCGCTTGGCCAAGACCGCGTGGTCTAGCGGTGAACGCTTATTTACCTTTGATGCGACTAACACCAATTGTAAACTGTAATTGAGCCGATCATGTCAACTCAGTGTCAATGTGACTATGCATTTAAGATGCCATCAGACACACGCGATTTTATTGGATAAAGATTGGTTTCTAATGACGCTTTTTCGCCACAGTCTGCTTTAAGGGTTGTGATTGGTCAAAATCAGACACGTGACCTAAGGCAGCCATTCATATTACGGCAATGGATACCGTCCTCGTAAACGAAAACTTTTAGATTTAGACAAAAGTTTTGGGTAAAATAATGCTATTCTGAACATATTAAGTAAGAAATCGCTACCTATACGTAAATTATGGAACTTATTCGACTTATCGTACTAGGCTATGACCTGTGACAAAAATGCTTCATGTATATATTTTCGCATTAAACATCGTGTCCGAGCGTGAAGATTGAGGCGGCGAGAGCCGAGATGTCACTTGTCAGTGACTTGACTTACATTACATGATCACACAAAAATATGGAAATAGTAATTTTATATGTACGTTTGACAACTTTTATGAATGTCGTTGTTGATTTTATTCATTAGTTTATTCAATTTATTTAATGAATTCCTCGAAACATCGTTACTTTGCTCTTTGACAATGTTATAGTGGACCCGCTGCCGCAGCAGGTGTCTGAGAATCGTTGTTTACAATAACATTGCGAAAAATAGTTTATAAATTTAATTCTGCTGATAATATATGATAAATTGAAATTTAATAAGTGTTTTCAGACATTGTGAAATGTGATAGAATCTGTGTACTTCGGACTACTGTATAATTCGGACTTTTTAGTCGGTCCCAAGCTGGTCCGAATTAGACAGAGTGCACTGTATATGGTGGCGGTCTGTAAACAATCGTGTCTGGACCAGAAAATCCAGTGATTAACATCATGAACATTGATCTACGCAATTGGTGTACAATGACATGTGTCAACCATGTCATTGAGCCTGACCACCTTATCCTGTTAGTTGCCTCTTACGACAAGTATGGGTTACTAAAGACCAATTCTAATCCAGATCTTCATGGGCTGGTTGCCTGTGAAGTAAAGGTCATTGAGGTCAAGGTCATCGGGTCAAGGACATAGGATGAGGCAAAGACTCATTTTAGCCAAATTCTCAGCATAATGTTAGTATGATTAAGTGTTCTGTTATTAGATTTCATTGCATTCTCCATGACATTTATGGGGTGACATTTTTCATTGGTTAACTGATTTCATTGTCCAAAGCCAAAGAAATATCATAAAATATAATGAAAACTTGAATTTATTATATTTCTTGAAAAATCCTACGATGCATAAAATCAAACTATGTCAAACTAACTTTTCAATTTAGTTTTAACTGATTTTAATTAATCCTTTGTATTGTGTGCAAGACCTGGCCACAAAATAACCCTTTCAGAAGTTAATATATACACATGTTTCTTCGAAATATATCACCATCATGAATTAAAGAAATATACATTTGGGTGACTGCATGTCTATTCTATCCAAATGCAACATTTTGATCCTTTGACTGTTGTTTGGCAACTAGTAAAATTCCATTCGATCATCATGCAGTTTTCTTTTTGCAAAGATACATGTCAACACATAATTTCATGCCAAATACAATAAAAGTAAGAATATTGAGCCGTGCAGAATCATTTTCGTTTTGAATGACCCAATTAATCTTTTGTGTAAAAATGTCTGTAAACCAAATGCAAAGTGTTCTGAAGCCATGATGCACTCGTTCCATCCTCTCAACTTCGGTGAAAACCATGAACCACTTCACTTAATTAACCACAACAGGCACTCACATCTTGGTGCAACCATCAAGGTGTCCTTCAACGACCTACAATTATTTCAAGGAAAATAACCGTGAATTATAGATATTATCCCAAATATTTAACAATTGATAATTCTTATTTTTATATGGATTTTCTTTATCTATTATTTTCTTGGTTGTTATGCCAAGAGGAGGGATGCAAAATTGGAAAGATATTGTCAGTGTTGATTTGAGAGAAGTTTTCTAATCTTGAAATGGATGCTCTGCACCAACTCTCTCTCTCTCTCCCCTTCCCCCTCCCTCCCTCCCTTTCTCTCTCTCTCTCTCTCTCTCAACATGATGGTGGTCTGGAAATAATCAAGACTGAATCAGACAATCCTGTGATTGACATCATAAGCATCAATCTCAGCTGTTGGGAACTTTTCGATGACGATTATTGCATCAACCAAGTCAGCAAGCCTGATCACCATAGATCGTTATTTGCCTCTTATGACAAGCATAGTCACCTCTTACAGATAATGTACTGGGTGCCGTAGTACAAAGCGATCTTAGCGCCACAGTCACTGTAACTCCCATACCATAACATAGACTTAAGTTTGTCTTAGCGCGCTAAGGTTGTTATGTACAATAGCACCCTGGTTAACACTGAGGATCATTCTCTCAGAAGATCAATAGAGACATATGCTAACCTTCTAATTGGAGGTTTGGATATATAACACGATTGAGTATCCAGAGAACTGGCAAGTAACAACATTCTGATCACTTCCTCGTCATATATTATAAATAGAGACGCCAAACTGTTCAAGATTACATTGGTTTGTACAAGTGTTGGTGTCAACACAGCAGGTATTTGAAGACATGAAAGTTAACTATTTAGGTTTAGATTATTTATTTAGTTCATTTTATTCATTTAATTTGACTCATTAATTCTATTTGCAAATTTGCTTACTGCAGGGATCATATTTAATTCTTACTGTGTGCAAGATATTCCACTGACTGTGACTGCGTGTCCACTATCATAAAACGTAGGTTAGATCCTCATCAGGTTGGTATTGCAGAACTTGCCATCTTGGACTTTGACCAGGCTCGTTATAACAATGACTATATTCATTAACTGTTCAAATTACAGGATCTAAAATCAGTTGGATTGCCAGTGTTTATGCATCAGTAAAGCCATTCTATTTCATTTCCTTGACCGATTTCTAATCAGGAGAGCTGGGTTATGTACAAGTTTAGTGAGAGATCTTACAATTACTATTAGGAAGTCAGTGTTCTCTGGTCTATGTGAACTGCCAACAATTGACACGAGCCTTTGGTGATTCGATAATTTCCCCAGACTCTAGTAAACATTTACCAATCCTTATTTAGTGCTGACAGCCAATTTTAGCATTTGTCCACCGTAATTGTTCGGAGGATAACACACCCTGAATCAACAAGTCATCGTCTATTCCCCAGCATTAGATTCTTTCAATGTGCAAGCAGGATTATCTGAAAATCTGTGATCATGAGGGCAATGGAGACGGCCTCACTAATTACTCAATACCTAAAGATTTTACTACAACTGACGAGGGAGTACAAATTTACATGAGGATGTACATGTAGTGCATCCAGAGTGATGAGGCTGTCAACCTCTGTTTCTGTTGGTGATCTGTTTAGAGGGTACCCTGTTGGTGATCTGTTTGGAGGGTATTATGTATTGGTGATCTGTCCAACTGGCTGCATCGTTTGCTCTCTGTTGGCTTCGATAACAGCACGTGGAGCCGTACAACATATGTAAACAAAGGATCACTACGCAAATCGAAATAGTGCTACATGTATTAGGATATTTTCTCAGTGAAACTTAACCATTC